AAAAACCTTCACTGGCATGTTCCCTTGGTCCCCTCCCAAGAAAACTTCGCAGTTTAATTATGATTAATATTATTTCCATTATTATGTTTTTCATAAGGGGTGTTTAGGCTAATTATGGCCTTCAACATTACCGCCCACCGGGAGACCTATCCTTTGCATCCGGCGGTGTCCAGCTACCTGGACTGGGTCCGGGGCCTCAGAATCTGGCTTTGTGGGGTTGAGTCGGAGGAAGTTACGTTAAGTTAGGGTTTAGGGTTTAGGGTTTAGGGTTTAGGGTTTAGGGTTTAGGGTTTAGGGTTTAGGGTTTAGGGTTTAGGGTTTAGGGTTTAGGGTTGCTGCACCAGCTACCACATAACCCCGTCATGGTGATTCTTCTAGGTTCCTTAGACCAAAACACGCCCAACATGGGCTCTCCTGTCCACTGTCCAGGTCTCCTGCCAGGCGAAGTGGGCTCCTATTCCCTGTTTCTGGTGCTAGACTCTCTTATAATCCTACAAGAAAACCAAGATTAGGTTTAGGGTTTAGGGTTTAGGGTAACCTTTAATTTGACAAAAAAAGGGTGCTCCGGGACCTTTGAGAAGCAGTTTCAGGAATCAGGCAGAACGGCTCAACGAGGGCACTCGACACACAGGAAGGTTAGGAGTTGGGGGGTTTACGATGTTTAGGGGGGTTTGCAGGGTTTTGGGAGTTTCGGGCTTAGGGGGGTCAGCCGGCTCACGTGCAAGAGAGATTCAGGGGCTTTGTTTGGCTGAGAGCTGTGGACACCAGGAGTACGTGTGATTGAAGGGGGGTTTAGAGCGCAATCCCTTGCGTGATTCGGTGAGGGTTCGCGAGTAGCGATCCAGTTCGAAAGCTGGTTCGTTCGTAGGGATGGACTTCCATATCCCAGACTTCAAGAAACGGCACAACTTGCAACCCTAAACCCTAAAGTCCAATAGGGTGGAGGCTTCGGCCTATAGGGCGCCGAGCCCCTCGAACCTTCCACCTTCTAAAGAAGTCTCCCAAGAGATCTGGGCTTTTGCCATGGAATCACTTTTTGAATGGATCCCTAAAACGACCCTAAACCCTCAACGCTAAACCCTAAACCCTAAACCCTAAACCCTAAACCCTAAACCCTAAACCCTAAACCCTAAACCCTAAACCCTAAACCCTAAACCGTAACCCTAAACCCTAAACCCTAAACCCTAAACCCTAAACCCTAAACCCTAAACCCTAAACCCTAAACCCTAAACCCTAAACCCTAAACCCTAAACCCTAAACCCTAAACCCTAAACCCTACACCCTACACCCTACACCCTAAACCCTAAACCCTAAACCCTAAACCCTAAACCCTAAACCCTAAACCCTAAACCCTAAACCAAACCCTAAACCCTATAGAATTCCTACACAGCTTCGGGCCTGGGAGGCGGAGAGCATGTACCGGCCCGGCCGCGAGTTGGTGGACCTGTCACGGAGCCCGGGGGCCTGCGTTCTGCAGCCAGCTCCACTCGGATCTCTGCATAGGTAGTTTTCTATATTAGGGCCCCTTTTGGGTACCCCTTAAAAGGCGGCACCCTTTGAACAGGATCCCAAAAATGGACCCTAATTTAGAGAACTACCTGGCGTGTTGTTTTGCAATTTCCTAATCCCAAAGCCTAAAAACCCTATGATGTGTTAAAGATAAGACGCCTCAAAAAGGAAGAACAGGCCAAAATTGAATAAGCCCAGGAGATCTGGTGTCTTCGAGTTGTCGGGATGTTCGCGCTTGAAAATCTACTGCAATCCCGAAACTCCTAAAACCACATGGTTTTGGGCTTCGGGTTCTTAAGGTCCAGTGTCGTTCCCTGAGCTCAGAAGCCTGGACTTAGTGACCGCGTTTCGCCCCAAGGGCGTTGGCCAAGAAGCATCCCCTGCCATGCCTGATGCTATATTTTCCCCACTAAGGATTTAGCAAGCTTATACCTAAAACCCTAAACCCTAAACCCTAAACCCTAAACCCACCAAGGCCACAGCTTGATGGACGGCACGGATGTGACTGCCGCCTTGCCCCTACGAAAGGGGGGGCGGGCTTCTGGCTATATTTACCTGAGTGTTGATGACCCTTAGTTCTTTGAAGGCTCACGGCCACTTACAATGGTTTCTGCATCCAGAGGCCACCTGGGAACTCCCCCTGAGTTCACCAACCTCAAGGCCTCAATAACCATGAATCCTTCAACCCTGAAATCCACGAATTCCTCAACCCCAAACCCCAACACATGAATCCTGCAACCCTCAAAAACACCATAAAGCCTTCAGGCAACCACTTCGGCAAAGTGCTGGAGCGCATTTCTCCAAAGATGTCACATAGTTAACCCCGCATTTCTCTGGTTTGTCGGGTGACAAAAACGCCCAAACCCTTCAACTGCTGTTGCTCCGCCTTCGTCGAGGTTCTGCAGGCCATGCGGAACCCACAGGACGGTGCCGCAGCAGGCACCGCGCTCGGGGCCGGGGGTTTTATTGTTGAGGGTTTCGGGGGACCCGATAAACCTACTTAATCAGCCAGAATAAGCGCCAGCAACGGCGAAACAAGCCCAAACAGGCCTTCCTTCGCAAGGCCTCAAGAGAACCCCAACATGCCTAGCGGAGGTGTTTTCCGGACCCCGGATTTTGAGCTGGGAATCTGCTGGCTGGAGTCTAGGATCCTTATTCCCCCCCACCCGGGCCCACTGTACTTGCAAGCAATAGCGGGAGCCCTAAGTTAAATTACCCTGAACCCTAAACCCTATAGTTCCCCCTCCCACCTCCCGAGAAAAGCAGAAAACACAGAACATCTCTAGCACAGCAGCCCCCCTCCCCCAGCCAGGCGGTGTAACACCCTTGTCCCAAATAGCTTTGGCGATGGCTGCAACAACCCATGGCCTCACCCTAAACCAAACCCCGGCCACTACCTGAAGACTAGTTCCGTTTGGGGTCCGGTATGGCTTTTCCAGTAAAGATTCTAGTTTACTACCCCAGAAAGGAACTACACCCGTCAGAGAGGCTAAACCTGAGTGTATGCCTCAGGTTCTCGACCCTAAGCCCGCACTTCAAGCACTCACAGTCTGTCGGGCGAAAGTGCAACAAGAATTCGCCCTGGGCCATGGAGCCCAGCCAAACCCGAAAGCCTAAGAACCTGAAGCGTGCCTCCTGCCCTTGGATTGCAGGGCTGAACATGTTCCGGGAGATTTTCTACCAGTGCGTGCCCGAGGGGTGCGTTGCACCCGAGCCCTTGGCAGTTTCGGGTTTAGTGTATAGGGTATACCCTAAACCCTAAACCCTAAACCCTAAAGGGTATAGGGCTCAGGGAGGGGTGGAACATGGCACGAAAGAGTAGATGTTGCTGGCCTGCCCTGGCTAGTTCGTGTTTGAGTTGGATCACACTCAGGTAATCCAGAAGAGCCAAACTGTCTCAGGCCCTCAGGCCCATGTCCCCAAGCCACCCCAAGCCTCTCCAAATGATCCAAGTGCGCTTGAGGTGGGCGGTCGCGATGCGTCCCTGGCTCAGCATTGTTGGCCGTGCTCTTTGTGAGCTTAGCACCTTTGCCCTTTGCGGCACTTTCTAGGACAAAGGCTCTTGCGTCAGCGTCGGAGAGGCTTGGATTCTGCTTCGCTGGTCCTTCGGCATCAACGCCCTTCACAGAGCCCGTGGTTTAAAGAACGGCCTTCAGAAAATCCAAGCCCTCAACCCTGGGGCCCTCAGCCCTAAGCCTACAAGCCCTAAGCCGTACGCCCCTCAGCCTAAACCCAAAACCGGCCTCCCAAAATTTTAGGGAACTGCTAAGGCAAGCAGTTCAACCTCCTGGTGTTGCCCCATCACACCCAGGTGGAGATTCGAAGCTTCAAGGGAGCTAGACTGACATGCTTCATGTGTTTCTGTGGGGAAGGGGGGGGCTTAGTAGTAGCGCAGGTGACCTTTAACCTTTTTGGGGGTATGAAACACCCTATAAAATCCCAAAGTTTAACCTGTAATTCCCCCAGGTTACTGGACAACTAAGGGGAGTGAGAGGGGGGAGGGGGAGAGCTGAAAGGTGATCGGGCGTAACGGTCCATGTCATGCTTGCTTCTCCACGACGAAAGCCCTCTCTCCCTCTCTCTCTCTCGGAGGCATCGGGGGTTGCATTGGGCTTTGTAGGGTTTAGGAATGTAAGGAATGTAGGTTGTGATTGGGGGGTGTGCTTTTGAGAAGTCGCAAAGTGCCCGAAGCAAGCCATCGTTTCCAGGGAGGAGTCGCGGGCACTTCCGGTTCAGGCCATGCCTTTCACGGGTATTTCCGAACATCGTGGTGCCCCTTAATCCCCCGGATTACACTGCAAAACCTCACTATTAGATGAACCCCCAATAGACACATCTGTTTTTCGAATCCCCCCATACCCTATAAACAGAAGCTGTGAAGCCGTCTGGTCGACCATGTCGCTTCGCATGCCTCTTGCTTTGGCGTCCAAACCGTCAGACCTAGCCTATGGGACTTCCGATAACCCCCTTATTGTCATACCCGCTTTTTAAGGCTGTCGTTCTATCATGGACCCCCTCATACATACAAGGGTGCTTTTTTTGAACCTCTTGCCCTGCACTTGAGAAAGATGGGCTCGACTTGTGAGTCGAGGAACTGTGGATTTCTTGCGGCGACACTGGATGTGGCATCCGTGCCTGCGTAGCATATCGTAGCATATCGTAGCATGCTTCCCGCCATCAGCCCTGTTTCAACGTCGCGCGCCTGTGAAAAGTCCGTGGCGAAAGTGTCGCCGACAGTTTCTGGCTGCAGATGCCCTATAACCACCCACGCGACGTGCCCATTCCCCCATACCCCTCCTAGTCGAAACTCGAATGGCCTAGAACCTAGTCAAGTCTGACAAGACGATGCCCTAAAGTTAAGCCACTAAGTCCTAAACCCTCTTCAGCCCCCAAGCCATACCTTTAGGGTCTAGGGTTTAGGGTTTAGGGTTACTCAGGCATACTCAGGTCTATCTTCCCAAGCTCTTCTCCGGTCTTCCTTTCCTCAAGCCATGGCTCCCGATGCCGACGTCTTCTTCCCGCTGAGCCTTGGGCTTCGTTGTGGCGGTTGATCTCTTTGAGGTCTCGATTCAGAGGACAGTGTGCGGGATGGCGTCATTTTTAGGAAGATGTCCCTTGCAGTTCATACTCCCATTTAAGCCCGAAGCCCCAAATCAAGAAAGCTCTCACTCAGCCCTGCACTACTCTCCCCCCCAAAAACAACCCAGAAGGATCCGGCAACACCCCCGATGATCAAAGGGTAGGTTTTAGGGTCTAGGGTTGTAAACCCTAAGCCCCTGCAGAAGCCCGCCCAAGCTAACTTGGAGGTTCGCAAGTAATCATAAGTGGTTATAGGTAGGGTAACTATACATATAACTGGTTATACCCTTATTTAGGGTACTTATAACCCTACTTAGAACTACTCATGAACTATACATATAACTGGTTATAACCTTCTTTAGGGTACTTATAACCCTACTTCCAACTACTCATGAACCCCCCGGGCCAAACGAAGGCAAGAGCCACAGCCTTTTGTGGCGCCACCTCGCAGTGGCTGGCTTGAGGCCCTTTACAAGTGGCGCGGCGGCAAGTACGATTGGGATTGGCCCTGAAACCTAAACCCTAAACCCTAAAGGGGCTTGGGATGTTCCCCCTAATGCTAACAGTCCTTAATGGGGAATATCATAGGGCATACTCTCATCCCTATTAAGGCAGGCTTACCCTGGAGTAGCCTCTCTATACCCTTGTAAAACAAAGAAAACAGGGAAGCGTGCCTCAAGTATTGGAGCCCTAGACCCTAAACCATGTTTAAGAAAAACCGTTTTGAAGGTACGAGGACTCTAGGTAGAGCATAGGATCTAGTAGTGTTGAGTTTGTGGGGGCTCTGGGCTACATTCTGGCGTGGCTGCCCAGCCCGGCTGCACAGTTTTTTTTCGGCCCGTTTGATAGAGAAAGCTCCCCAACTCCTGCCCAGAGGTATCCTTTTTAGGGTTTAGGCTTCAGGGTTTCGAAGGGTTTGGGGGAGCAAAAAAGGGTTCGGTCGGGCTCAAAAGCCTGCAGGGTTTGGAGGCTCAGTACCCTATCAACCGGGGACAAAGCCCCCTAGACTTGAGAACGGAACCAGAAAGGCTTTTGGTCCATATACTAAGGACATCATACGGGGCTAACAAGGAGCGTTCAAACTTGGAAGTCTGTCACTTCAAAGAGCCTTGCTGGTAGAGTAGGGTGACTCCCTGCTCTGTGAGAGTGCGGCTTTGCCTTGCTTGGGAGAAGGCACGCGTAAAAACGAAACTCTGGACCTGAGTAGATCGCCGGCCATGCTGTCGCAAGGATTCTGCCCATCGTCGAGTGGCTCCCAGCGTATAGCTGGCAAGAGCATGGGATCAAGGAGGGGTATAGGGTTTAGGATTTAGGGATTAGGCTTTAGGGTTTATGGCATCGGAAAGTGTCACGCGTCCAGGGCTAAAGTGAGACGCTTCTCACGTGGGCATTCCTTGCTTTGGGCTCTGTTTGGGCCTTCCTAGGAACTGCCGAGCACTCAAGTGTCGACAGCCAAAAGTCATGCCAAGCTATGCCTAAACTCTTAGCAGGGCTGTACTGCACCGACTGGTCTTCCGCGAATCCGTCCTTGCAGGACCTTTCAGGCGGCATCACGCTGGGATGCATCCTGGTAGCGCAGTCCCTGGCGCATGCGGACCTTTGCAAGGCTCCGGAATTCTTTTCAGGTTTTTTTGAGTTGTTTTCCAAGGGGAACCTTTGCCCGGGATGCTGTTAAGGAACCTTAACGTACGTTGCGATGGCTATATGTGCGTTGCTGGGACTTATATGTACTAAGACCGTGGAAGTTTAATTTTAGTCTATAGAAATGAGCCAATCTTCCCTCCCAAGAACTCCTGAAGGAGGTGGCTCGGGCTTCCCAAAGTTCGGGAGGGCGTCGTGTCTTCGTAGCTGCGAAATGCAGAATTCAGCTGTGGGCAGCTTAGAGGGTTGAAGGGGCCAGGGCTTAGGCCAGGAGCCCAGTATTAAAACACGCCTTTTGGCTGAATCTGACTTCCTATTTCTGAGGGGGGGGGGGCAGAAGAACAGACGTGAGTCTGTTCCGAAACCGGATGAATCTTGTTGGGACCCTGTCACAAAGAGCCTCGCCCGCGCATGTTGGTCTGAGAGCCTAAGCTCCCACAAGTGATCCCGATTTCTGAAACCCTGTAGGGTTTCGGGTTTTGGGGACTTAGATGGTTTTAGGGTTTTAGCGTTTAGGGTCTTAGGGTTTTAGGGTTTTAGGGTTTTTAGGGTTTTAGGATTTTAGGCTTTTAGGCTTTTGGGGTTTTCGGGTTTTAGGGTTTAGGGTTTTAGGGGTTTAGGTTTAGGGCTTAAGGAAGCCCCGACCCTTGGAATGGAATCACTAACTCGGCGTCGTCTTCTGATTCGGCCCTGGCATTTTTTCGGCTTGTTCGACTCGCGGCGTCTCACTCGGCCCCCGGCCCCAGCACTGCAAATAGGGTTTAGGGTTTAGGGTTTAGAGTTTAGGGTTTAGGGTTTAGGGTACCGGCCCACGTATCCGTGTCCGGATACACCCTTGGAATGTCAGTGTGCGATGTCGGTTTCATTCTGTCGACCAGTGCGAGCCATTACGGTTTATCTGGGTTGAACCCTAAACCCTAAACCCTAAACCCTAAACCCTGCGAGGCTGGTGGAAGTTTCATGCTGTACTTTCTGCTTCCCCGGCAGTGCTAAGATCCCAGAATCCTCCCAAAGTCCTCGGCCCATCTACTGCCCTATACTACTACGATGACCTATTGCACCAAGATGACCCTAAACCCTAAACCCTAAACCCTAAACCCTAAACCCCAAACCCCAAACCCCAAACCCCAAACCCCAAACCCTAACCCTAAACCCTAAACTACGCCTAAAGCCCAAGCCCTAAACCCTAGCTATTGCAGGTGCAGCTCATCCACGGCCCCTACAGCTGCATCATGCCGCCCATCCTCTACTCCCTCTTCGGCACTTGCGTCCACTCTTCCGTAGGCCATCGGCGGGGAGTGTCCTCAGGGCCATTGGCGATTATTTACAGTTTTTTCCTACTGTTTGCTTAAGAACCCCCCCCTCCCAAAAAAAAAAAAAGTTTTCCCTACAAAAGGCTAATGAGGGGATTAATATTTTGTGCGCTCTGGGGGTTCTCAAGCACACGTCTGGCAACGAATGGCAGCTTTCGTTTGTAGCAAAGAGAATGCTTCAAGATAGGTGGAAGGCCCACAGCCCGAATTCAACCTGCAAGCCTATAGCCCTGGGATGTTCCCCCTTATACTCACAGTCATTTATAGTGTTCAGGACTGTTTGTATATGGGGGAACATCCCAACCTATATAAACTTTTAAGCTGCATCGAATCCCTGTACACATGGAAGGGTTGGGTTTTGGGTTTGCAAGCTTGGGGTTATACGGCCTCCCCAGAGGGCAACATGCCCTGCAGCCCCTCCTCACGTAAGGTCAAAGGGTTAAAAGGGCTTATAGGGGTTTAGCGAAAGCTGGTAAGCTAGTACCTGTGGAGAAAAAAGGGGGACCCAGGGTGTACTCGTCCTGGATCTCCTGGCTAAGCGCGATGGCTTTAGTTGCCAACGCCCTTGCAGCCTCCGCACAGCTTCTGCCACCAGAACATTGACTTCATTTGCCTTTTGGACCCCTAAACCCTCTGCAGATTTGGAGAGCGTTTACTGAGTTTTTGTCCTTACTCCATTTGAGATTTGGACGTGCAGGCTCTCGAGATCTTGTCCTAGCAAATTGCCAAATTGCTGAACACTTTAAAAATCCCTTCGAGCTGTTTAACCCGGGTACGCCTTACAAGGACCCGGCAAGCCCCATGCTCGGCTATCAAGTGACCCCTTTGTGGACCGTTATCTTTAGTATACCTGAAGGTTTCTTTCCAAAAGAGCCCGTATTTAAAAACAAGCAACCATCTAGCCAACATTCCGGTACGCACTATAGCACAAGAGCTTAAAACCTTGCCAACAGCATCCCGCCTTATGTTCCTTACACAAGTAGTTTGTGTACAAACTATGACATAATGCGATCTACCAGTTAATCAATAAATAAAGACATGTATATTGGGTTCGGCCGGTCCACACTAACAGTCAAATAACGCCGTGGCCTTATAACACACAGGCAAAAAATAGCACCAGGAATCCCAGTCAATTTTAGCATTTGCCGGGTGCTTTTTTTTGTGGGTCTGCTGGTGGTGACTGTTAGTCACATAGCAGCAGAAATAGCACCAGAAATAGCACAAACAATAGCACAAAAAATAGCACCAGAAATAGCGCCAGGAATAGCACAAAAAATAGCACCAGAAATAGCACAAACAATAGCACCAGAAATAGCACCAGGAATCCCAGTCAATTTTAGCAGCTTAGCATTTACCGGGTGCTGTTTTTTGTGGGTCTGCTGATGGTGATTGTTAGTCACATAGCACCAGCAACAGCACCAGAAATAGCACCAGAAATAGCACAAACAATAGCACAAAAAATAGCACCAGAAATAGCACAAACAATAGCACAAAAAATAGCACCAGAAATAGCACCAGGAATAGCACAAAAAAATGCACCAGAAATAGCACCAAAAATAGCACCAGGAATAGCACCAGGAATAGCAGGAATCTCAGTCAATTTTTTGGCATTTACCGGGTGCTTTTATTTGTGGGTCTGCTGGTGGTGACTGTTAGTGTGGACCGGCCGAACCCAACATGTATACATGTGTATATCTATATATATATATATATATGTATATAATTTTGTTCTTATACTTACGTGTGATGGCTATTTGTTTATCTATGTATGTATGTATGTATGTATGTATGTATGTATGTATGTATACATATATATATATATATGTATACATATTGCGGTAAGTGTTTGCTGATCAATACAGCCTGCAACAGAACTCGTGGGTCTCCGACTCAGGGACTGGTGGCCTCATCTCCTTGCTCACAGGGGAGCAGCGCCTGGGATCACATTTAGGGGGCATTTGGGTTTAGGGTTTAGGGCTTAGGGTTTAGGGTTTAGGGTTCAGGGTTAATTTTTGGGGCTGAGCTGACTTCAGGGATTGAAAGAATTAGGGTTTCGGGCTTAGGGTTCAGGGTATGAAGTCTGCCACGCTGTGAGATAGTTCCCGATGCTTGGCTTTCGCGCACGAGTCGCCTCCTCGCTTAAGGCGTTGAGTAGTCAGTATTGGTTACCTGGCAGAGTCACAGCAGGCCAGATGCAAAAGGTCTGCCACGCTTCAGAGCCAGTTGACATGCAGAGTCTGGGTTCAAAAAAAGGCTTTAGGGTTTAGGGTTTAGGGCTATGCGGGCTTCAGGTGGCTTCGGCAGCAGGGCAGGCTGAACTGGGGTGTAATTGGGGTTTGGTCTGGGGTTGGGCTGAGTGTGAGCCTTCGCTTAAACTTGGCCGCGCGGCCCCGATGATTCTTGCTTGCCGTGGCCGCCTAGGCTTTTCGGGAGGGACTCGGGTGTTTTTACTGAGGTTGAAGTTGTGTTTGCGTGCAAATGCGTGATGATGCGTGTCCACGCCCATTTTGGAATCTCTCTGGTATCCCCTAAACCCTCAACCCGAAACCCCTGCAGTATTTGCTGACCACGCCGTAAACCCAGTCCTTGACTTGAGATTTCTAAGTGCTCGGACCCACAAACCTTCAACCATCTTAAACCCTGCGGCGCCGCAAGCTACAGACTGAAGAAGCCTCAAGGGGTTGAGGGTTTAGGTTTTAGGGCTTAAGGTTTAGGCTTCCCCACAAGAGCCCGAACACCAACAGGACCGAACAACTGGAATTCAAGCCTCTCTGAGCCTGATTTAGGGCCTTAGGGTTTAGGGTCCTTTGACCAAAAGAGGATCTTTTGTGAGGTTATCGGCGTATGGGCAATACAGGCTCAGGGCTCAGTGTTTAGACTCTAGACATGATTCTTATGGAGTTTCCACACGGGCTTCCTCTCCCGAAATCGTGCCAGCTAGGCTCGATCACTATGGGGACCTGGAGCAGCGAACGCATGCAGGCAGGCAGTGTTCGGCATGCTTTTCGGTTCGAAAGAGAGAAGGGCAGGTGATAATGCACCCTACAATTGTGGGTCATATACCCTATACTACGTATAATCCCTACTACGCGTTTGACCCGCAAACCCTGTCAGGGTTCATTTCGTCCCCAAGGTGTCGTGCTGCTTTTGCGGCCTCGTGAGCAGGTGTTGCCTGCGGAAGGTTGTGGCCCAGTGGTACCCTTTCCTTTTTTTTGGTCCAGGTTCCCTAGCCTTATGGTAAAGTAGCATGAAAACACGGTTTCTGGGCTACAAAATATAACACCTTCCAATGAAGTCTCTTGCGTGTGGTGTGTGCACTCGGCTGCCTGAGTCAGTGGGGGAGGTAAGGAATGGTATCCCCACACTCTGAAGCCTCAAAGCCCTTCAGTTTAGGGTTTATAGGGTTTAGGGTTTATGGTTTATAGTGTTTAGGCTTTACGGTTTATGGGTTTTTTGGGTTTAGGGTTTATGGTTTATAGTGTTTAGGCTTTACGGTTTATGGGGTTTTTTGGGTTTAGGGTTTAGAATCTAATCCTGAGATGGCTCACCGGAACGCAGGCGCCATTTTCACGCTGCTGGTGGGGATCGCCTGGCACTCAGATGGGACTCGGCGTCTTAAGGCTGATGGGGTTTAGGCGTTTCGGGTTTAGGGTTTAGGGTTTCAAGCTAAGGTACAACAAGGAACCCAAGACTTAAGCCTGAGGGTCCTGCACTCGGTGCCCTCCACATTAAGGTCATCACGCTCATGGGCGTCTTCCGTTTAGCCTTCCTGGTGCGATTCCTTTCCCGACCAGCGTGCCTGGACTTCAGGGCCTGGATTGTTGATCTCATCTCTCTAGTGGATGTTGTTGAGGGTTCGTGTTTTCTGAGTCGAACAAGAAACATCTGCACGGTGTGTTTCAAGTATGACCCCCGTAAATCCCAAGAGTTAAGATGTAGTTCCCTGATGAAGCTGGGCAAGCAAGCTTCGGTACTTCCGGCCGACCTGTATCTCAAGTATACAGGGGCTTGTGAGGCTTCCGGGGGCTGTAATGTGAAGGATGTACATCAACAGCATCAGGGCCCGAAACTAAGGCAACAACGCTTTTGGGGTTAAGGCGGCTTAGGGGGAAAATTAAGAGCCTTCAACCCTGTCTCTCTCCACCTCCGTCCTATGCCCCTGTGTATTCTGTCCCAAAGGGTTTCCATCCAATCCCGTTTTAACATTCTTGAAAAGGGGCCCTGACCATGAGGCGCAGACACTTCTTTATCCGTTTGCGGCTCATGACCTGCAGACCCTAAACCCTAAACCCTTTGCTGCGGAGCTTGTTCTATTACACGGGCTATATCTAGGTTTCCACTACCATACGGACACTTGAATTTGCGGACCACAAGTTAGAACACCACCCCCCCCCCCCATCTGCCATAGGCTTTCAACGCAGTTGGCTTTTCGCCTTCAACCCCTGCGTGCGCGAGAGCCCCTTAAATCCGAAGCTCTAAGTAAGGGGGGAACCTAATTTTCGTGGGGGCTCTTAAAGCTAAGGCTTACACGATGTTGGGGTAGGGTGTAGGGTTTCGGGTTTAGTGATTAGTGACTTGTTATTTTGGGAAAATGCCTATGTAAGTGGTAGGGTTTCGAGTTGGGGGTTTCGGAAGAGTCTTAAGGAAAGCCTAAACCCTAAACCCGAGTGTGAGCGATTAAACCCTAAACGCAAGAGGTTTTAGGTGATCCTGAGCCTGAAAATCGTGAGCCCTTCCAGCTGAGGCTGAGTGGGTTCATCACTGCCAGCGTGCCCTCCCAGCACTTTGTGGGGCTTGGGGTTTCGGAATTAGAGATTTAGGGATTCAGGGTTTAGGGATTTGAGGAGGCAGTGCTGGCAGCCATCAAGTCCAGTTTCAAAAACGGAGTTAGGGTTTAGAGCTTTAGGGTTATTAGGGTTATTAGGGATGTAGGTTTTGGGCTGCTGGGGAATAAGGGTGAGGCAGGCTTTAGGTTTCAGGGTATGTTTCCGGGGCGAGGTCACCATGTTTGGGAGATGCTTGCTGCTGTTTGCGTACGTGGCTATGGCTTCTCAGCTCTCTCTCTCTCTCTGCACGTTTACGTGTTTAGGGTTATGGGTGACCACTCAAAGCCCCCAGATCCAAGAGCCAGAAGTTGGCATGAAAGGACTGGAAGGACTGCGTGAGTAGCACTGCGCAACTCGTGTAGGTCATGGTCTGACTGCCCTTAAGGCCATCCTCATCATGGCCTCGCAAATAAAGCCGATGCTGGGGCTTCCGAAATCCGACACTGGTGGCATCTTTGCCCGGGCCTTAGCACATGGATTGTCAAGGGATGCGCGACTGTAGACACCGTGCGTTGCAAGAGGTCAAGGACGCCAGGTGACATGAGAAAACTCCCGTCAAGAGAGATCCACGGCATATGGGGGTTTGCCAAAATAAGGGGCCCCTGATATAGATCCCCGAATAGTAGTAGGATTTATAGTAAGGACCCCAATAAGGTCCCCCTAATTTGGGAAAACACCCATAAAAGGTAGGCACATAAGCAACTGTCAGGCGATAGTTTGGTCGCATCCTCGTGACCTGCAAGATGTACGCTTGGCCACAGTTGCGATGAGCCTTTGTGCCTTCGACGTTGACACACTTCGAACCGAGAAAGAATTTCGGGTTTAGGGTTGGGGGGTTTAGGGTTTAGGGGTTTAGGGTTGAGGGTTGAGGGTTTAGGGTTTAGGGTCATGCTGACTTCGTATGGCTGCTTCCACACAGAAGATGCTGATTGGACCCAGGGCTGCGCATAGTTGAGGGCAGAACCGATCAGGTTGCGTCTTTGGGCCGGTCCTTCTGGTTTCCTACAAGGAGGGGCCCCCTTACTATACTAACTGTAGTTAAGGGACTGAAACCTAATAAATTTAGGATCCTTATAACCCAATTTAGGGTTCTTACAACTCTACCTGTAACGAGGGGGCCCCTCCTTGTATCACAGTGTCAGTACTTGGCATCAAGTTCCCAAGCTCGTATAGAGACCTGCTACAGCCCTACTGCGAATCCTTGGTCGTGGTCCATGCAATCCCCATCTAAGGCGCACTGGCGTACCTGACTGCAATCAAATCACTGAAGTCTGTGCATTGGATTCTGAAACTACTTGGCGACTTCAAGGACTCGAGATCAAGGGGCCGGGTTTCGGGTTGCCCCCTAGGGCGCACGGGTCGTTGGGGGACGTGTGTTCACTTATGGCCACTCCGCCATGCGCGAGCCGAAAGTCCCCCCATCTGATCAGCACTAGTACATGCATGTCTCCCTTCCATCGCTAGAGGAGCTGACTTTGCTGGCGTTCTCTGCAATTTTCGCTACAAGGCCAGACGCATAGCTGGGTTGACATGTCGTTCTGGTCTGAGGCAGCTACGCGAATGCTTGGGTTTGGGGTTCCGTTTTGTACCCAACTAATGTACAACTTTAAGGCTGTGAGCACACAGATGTTCAATTTCAAGCTTGCCCAAGAGCCCAAAAGCCATGAGCCCAAGCGACTGGCATGGCGATTCAAAGGGCGGGGTCTCCTAGGGTTTCAGGGTTTAGGGTTTAGGGTTAGGGTTTCAGGGTTCAGGGTTTAGGGTTACAGCTTTGCAACTGGACTAGGGTTGCAGCTGAAGAGCATTCAAAAATATCTTGCGCCCTTTTGCCAGGTTCGCTCAAGACTTTGGCATCTCAGTGGTTGGTGACTCTTGGACTTGGACCCGCTTCCCCCTCTCGATGTGAACGTATGCAGTTTTGCGGGGGTTGGTCGTGACGCAGGTCAGCGGGCCTTCAGCTTGTGGGAGGCGACTGACTGGTGGATAATGAACGCCTTGAAAGATGGCTAAACGCGGCTACATCAACATCTTGCCGTCTGCCATTATGCTGATCTCATTCCTTTATATTCTATTCTATTCTATTATATTGTCTTCTATCATATTATATTCTTTTATATTCTATTCTTTTATATTTTATTATACTACATTATTCTCCTATTCTGATATTGAATGACATAGAATGCACTCATGTCATCCACGACCGAGGATGTCCCAGCCGGCCTGCCCAGCAGCTCCTGGCCGCTCCGCACGTCGGAGGACCTGGCGCTGGCGCAGGCCGACCCCTTCTAGGTTTCGAAGGGCGGGTTTAGGGTTTAGGGTTTAGGGTGCATAGGGTTCAGGGTTTAGGGTGTATAAGGTTTAGGGCTACTGGAGCCCTGAAGCAAAAAGGGTTTAGGGTTCAGGTTTTAAGGTTTGGACACTTTGGGGGTTTTGGGAACAAGCGGTCCCGGAAGCAAATTCACCCCAAGCGTGCCAAGCCTCCAACACCGCCCCCTTTGAACCCGCCTTGCCTGTCATATGACCATTCAAAAAGCCAGGAAATGCTCCCAGGGGCGACAATGGTTGCCCTGGTCACCTTCCTCTCCTCATTTGCGGGAGCCAAGAAGCTGCTTTGCCTTCGGATAGGTGCTTAGGGTTCGGGGTTGCAGAGGCCTGGTGATGGGATTCGATGAACTATAGTCAGCGTGCAGGTAGCAACGGGACGTGAGCGCTTGAGAAGGATTGGCGCGCCAGAGGGTTGAGTTGAGCGCTTTCGGATGTATAGAGTCTAGGGTCGGGTCGACCATCAATCCTGGGTTTGGCGGTTTGACGGGCCGAGGGCTCTAGGGCTATGGGTTTAGGGTTTAGGGTGGCTCGAAGAATCTAGCAAACACCGCAGGCCCTAAACCCTAAACCCAAAAAGGCCCCGAAGTTTCAACACAACACACCCCATCAGGGTTTAGGGTTTAGGGTTTAGGGCTACTTGAAGGTTCATGGGTAGTTATGTGTAGGGTTATAAGTGCCCTAAATAAGCTCATAACCAGTTGAAAGTATAGTTACACCGTTCTTAAAACCCCACTTACAACTTCCCATGAACCTCCAAGCATGCTTCAAGTGTTATCCTCACTACCGCATGCTTCGGAATGGGCTATGGGCTAAGGAAAAGGTCCTACAGTCTGTACATTCTTCGGCGAAGAACACCCAAACCCAAATATCAAAAACATAACATATAATACTTTTGTACTAGAAACCTTAACCTCAGCCGAGGTTCGCGATGCAAGCTGGGTACCAGGCAGCGAGGGACGGGAAGTGCTCTTGAGCCTAATTTTACCCCCCCCCCCCCCCCCAAAGCACCGAACCCCACGTGGGCTGGTAGGGAGATGCGCGAGACAGGGCCCAAAAAGTCAGTATGATATCACCTGACAGTAATTACAAATGCTTGCATGACATCAGCTAACGGTAATTTGAAAATTTGTTTTTTTCATAAAGAAATTTATAAACAACCCCTAAAAGGATCATATAGGAATCCCTATTAAGCCCTCTACAGAACCTTTTAAAGAACCCTGCAAAAACACCTTAAACCCTAAAACCTAAACCCTCTAAAGAACCCCAGAAAGAAACCCCCCAAAAAGGATCATGCAGTAATCCCGATTAGAACCCTCTAAAGAACCCTGTAAAGAAACCCTAAACCCTAAAACGGGTGGGAAAAAGACCCAAAACCTAAACCCTCTAAAACCCATAGAGAATTCCCCAAAAAGGATCATATAGTAATCCCTATTAAAACCCTCTAAAGAACCCCACAAAGAAACCCCAACGAATCTCTAGAACCCCTCAAACGCACTCTAAGGATCCCTACAAAGAAACCCTAGAAAAGGTCATAAACCCTGACAAATCCCTCAACAGAACCCTATAAAGAAACCCTAAACAGGTCATAAACCCTCAAAAATCTCCAAAAGAACCCTACAAAGAAACCCTCAAACAGGTCATCGCCATCAACGAGCTTCTGGCCTTGGGCTTCGCCAACCTCGGCGGGGCGCTCTACGGGGCGGTGCCGACGCAGACGCTTGGGCTTTTGGGGTTTAGGGTTTAGGGTTCATGGGCCTTTATAAGGTGTAGGGTTTAGGGGGTTTATGGGGTTTGTAGGGTTTAGGCGGTTTAGGGTTAAGGGTTTAGGGTTATAAGTTCCTTGGGGGACCCAACTGGACCCTAAAATTGGAGGGGTCGCATAGCCCATAATTACTAGAATGCTCATGGACGTGCATTGGTGGTTGTCAAAAATGATGGTCGCTTTTTGGATCCCTATTATAATACGGCACCTAATATTTAGGATACTCCAAAAGGGATCATAATTTTGACAGCCACCCATATGAACCACAATAGACACTTGGGTTTTTTTGGGGGGTCTAATGGGCCTTCATCGCTGCAAGGGTCTAAGGGGTTTAGGGTTTATGGGCTTATAGGGCCTTTGTAAGGTTTAAGGGTCTAGGGGGTTGAGTTTTTTTTTTTTTTTGGGGGGGGGGCTTTATATTAGGGTTATAAGTACCTTGGGGACCAACTAGACATGGGGGTCATATGGTTTGTACCACTATACTCCCCATCAAAGTATATGAACCATGTACCCTTTTACGATTGTAATCCCTATATTTGAAACTATATGAACCATAAAAGCCTTTTAGGGTTCATTCGTCCCCAACGCTTGGAGACTTCTAGTTTTAAGGTTTTTTAAGGTCTAGGGTCTAGGGTTTGGGGGGTTCAGGGGTTTTTGGGAAGTTTTTAGGTTTTTTCAGGTTATATATATACACATGTTTTTAGTTTATTATAATTTAGGGTATGAGTTTAGGGTTTAGGTGGTTTAGGGTGTGAGGGGTTTAGGGTTCAGGGTTTAGAGGGTTACGGGTTTATGGGTTGTAAGGGCCTTATGGGGTCCCCATATCGTGCGGCACCCTTATAATATGGACCCAAAAAGGGACATCGATTTTGGAAAATTGCCCTTATAGGGTTTGTAGAGTCTACTGGTACAGGGTCTCACACAGGTTTAGAGTTTGGGACGTCAGATCCCGGAAGCCGCCAAATTTTCAAGAAAGGAGCTTGACGTGTGGCTCACCCCCGCTCTTGACCTCCGCCTTCCGCAATGGCTTGAGATGCGTGCCCTGCACTCCACAGGACGCCCTGTACTACAAAGAGGGGCCCCCTTGCCCTACTAGCTGTAGTTAAGGCACTTTTACCCAATTTAGGATTCTCATAACTCTACCTATGACTGGGGGGCCCCTCCCTGTACAGCCCTGCGCTTGTTCCAAGGATTGGCTTGAGCCGAATCTTGGCTTCAAGCAATCTGGACATCAAGTCGTGGTATGCCAAACTTGTAGTCCCCTTTTTGGAGTCCTCTTCCTCAGGGATTCTATTCTAAACGGGTTTGTTCATGTAGAACAGGCCCTGAACCCCAAACCCGAAACCGGTGTTTGAGTTTGCTGGGGAAGTGGACTTTGTTCAGCAGGGTTTAGGGTTTAGGGTTCGCGGGAACACGTTGCCGAAAGGAAACAGTTTGGGGTGTAGGGTTGAGGGTGTCGGCTTTCGGGTTACAAGGTGCAAAGGGTCTTCATGTGTCAGGACTTCACTATTGTAGGGTTCAGGGTGTCGGGCTCACGTCAACAGCGGGACAATGCCGTCCGAAACTTCAAACTCCTCCCAATGTTCCTAAGCCCTAAACCCTAAACCCTAAACCCTCTGGTGTTCAGCCTTGATGCAGGCATGGGCATCGCCTACTCCACAGGGGTCATGAGCCAGCTGGGTGCCAATGTTTGGGTGGCAGACCCTTGGCAGAGAAGACGGCGTGTCGCCGGTTTAGGGTTGGGGGTTTAGGGTTTAGGGTTCAGGGTTCAGGGTTCCCCTGAAATTGTTGAGGGTTTCCAAATGGTCAATGCACAGGCAGGATAAGGGCTCAAGTTGTCGATAGTTGGGACGCGCACACAAACAGCGCATGGCATTCGACGCCTCTCTGTAGGTCATCTGCGGAGGTGGACGCACGGCTATAAGTTTCACCGCCACGCCAAGAAGAAGACAGGCCGAAGCAGCACATGGGTAGTTTCCTAAATTAGGGTCCCTTTTTGGGTCTCCATTATCAGGCGACACCCTTTCAAAAGGGATCCCAAAGAGGGACCCTAAACCCTAAACCCTAAACCCTAAACCCTGAACCCTGAACCCTAACTTAGAGAACTACCCACATCATCCATGGACTCAGATCTGCTGGTGCCCAGGTGGTCGTGGCGTTGGTTCTGAAGCTCTTCAGCTCCTACTTGCACCTCGTATGCTTACCCTAAGCCCTAAACCCTAAACCCTAAACCCTAAACCCTAAACCAAAAACACCAAACCCTACACCCTAAACCCCTTTTAAGGGAGCCCCTGACTCGAAGTCGAACCCCTCAAGCCCCCAAGGTCCGCCTCCTGCTGAGGCGTTTCGCAGTTGAACATGTTTCAATTTCACGCGGCTTTTTCGAGCTCTTTCTTCAGTTGCCAAGATGAGCTGAGGTACTTTGTGCCGCGATGCGTGCTGAACGTGCCCGGGACGCATGCAGGATTGTCATGCCAATTCAACATTTAGACTGTCCAGGTGTTGAGGGAGCAGAGGTGGCGACTACAGATACTGAACCCGGCAGGACAAGTGCAACTCAGGATCTGCGGTGCAGATCTGCCCTTGAAAGGACTCAAGTTAGTGACCCAACCATGACGCAGTTACGTCTCCGTCGGCTATTGCGCAGGAAGGGTCCCCTAATCCTCTCTTGGAGCCACACAAAGGACGTTGATTACGTTGGTTTGTCGCTGCGATAGGCGGAAACTCCCTTTTGATGACCCATGCCCTGTCCGATGTTGGTTTGGGCTCGCTCAGCTGTGGGGGAGGCAACAACCAACCCCTAAGGCACAAAGCATCATTTGAGGTGGTCGAGTGGAAACATGCGGAAGCCCAAGCCCTGCCCCATGACCCCTAAGCCCCCTAAGCCCTGGACCCTCAGCCCTAAACCCTGAACCCTCAGCCCTAAACCCCGAACCCTCAGCCCGAAACCCTGAACCCTCAGCCCTAAACCCTAGACCGGCTCCCGAATCCGTAAGCCGAAGCAATCCCCCGAGCAGCCTGAGGTGATCATTCTCCTGGGGGCCCAACACTTGACCGAGTTCCAGCCACAGACATGCATTCAGCATCTTCCCCCCAGTTCTTAGTAGGGAATGAGGGAGTTTTAGGGGCCCTAAATATACTCTTTAAGGGATGATATCAGGGTACCTCATTCCCTCATTCCCTACGAAGAACCACGTTTTGGGTCGTCTTGGGGGGGACAACTGTTTTTTGCTTAGGGGGAGCTAGGGTGAAGTTTTGTCGGGGAGGGTGGGAGGGTTGGAGGGTGGTCCTGTTCGGATTCTGACCCTAAACCCTAAACCCTAAACCCTAAATGGCCTTCCTTAAACTTACAGTTCGGATGCCCAAACAAGAATGGCCCAGATGCGGCGGTGGAAGTGCAGCATGTTTGGAAAGCTTGCTGCGCTACCCCCGGCATGCTCACTTCACATCCCCTGCAATGACGATTCCCCTAAACCCTTAACCCTTAACTGGCCCTTAACCCTTAACCTAAACCCTAAACCCTAAACCCTAAACCCTAAACCCTAAACCCTAAACCCTAAACCCTAAACCCTAAACCCTATAACCCTAAACCCTATAACCCTAAACCCTAAACCCTAAACCCTAAACCCTAAACCCTAAACCCTAAACCCTAAACCCTAAACCCTAAACCCTAAACCCTAAACCGTAACCCTAAACCCTAAACCCTAAACCCTAAACCCTAAACCCTAAACCCTAAACCCTAAACCCTAAACCCTAAACCCTAAACCCTAAACCCTAAACCCTAAACCCTAAACCCTAAACCCTAAACCCTAAACCCTAAACCCTACCCGAACCCTAAGAAAGCAAGGCACATGAGGTGGCTGGTGTCTCTGCGCAGCACTCGCACGAGACAGCGCACCTATTTGGTGGACTTCTCGGCGCCACGGCTAAGAAGGTTGCTGGTTTCGGGGATAGGGTTTAGGGTTTAGGGTAAGGGAAGTCCGTTGCCCAAAAAGGGCTTAGGGTTTAGAAGCCCTGACGACGAAGAGGGTTTGCGGTTTATGCCCGAAACGACCATGTGGAGATTATCAAGGTTGTGTGTGTGTCTGAAGTTTTTTTTGTTCTGGGGATTGGCTCCTCCACCCCCCGTTTTTTGAGCTGCAAGCAGCAAAAAACACTCGGCAGCCGCTTCCTCCCACTTCTAAATTACATCATCAGGACGAGATTCCGAAAACTTAGATCTGCTCCCTCTTCGCATGAAAGCTGAGGACGGAATTCTTACATGATGCTGATGTAGAGCAGCCCCAACATGCCTGGCTTTAGTGCTGCAGGTACAAGAGTGGGCCCCAGTTTAAATATTCTGGCACACATGGAAGAGGCTGCGCAGCCAGCAGTGGGACCCCTCCATACCCCTCCCATGGAAGCTACGCCTCTTCTAAGCTTCGAATCGTCTGGCAGCAACGATGCCGATGGAAGCCTTTTGAACATCATGGTCCTTAATTGGAATGGGTCAAAAATAGCCGGAGTCTCAAAGCCTCAGACTTGTGTGCGGAACGCTCTAATCAGCCCTCTTCGGGTACGAGCGGCGTGCTCGGGTCCCTTTTGACATCCAGTGTTCCTGCCTCTGCAGCTTTTGGGTTGATGTACAAGCCTATCCGCAGCTCAACCCCTGATCCCTTGGGATGCTCCCCCTTAGACTAACAGTCCTTTATAGGGATTATAGTACCCCCTTTTATCATCCCTATTAAGGAGTGTGAGTGTTTAGGGGGGAACATCCCAACCAATCCCATCTAATCCCTACTCCACAAAGGGCCCAAAGCCTACAAGACGGCAAGGCTTGACAACCAACTAGTCAGGTGCCGGGATAGTGTTGCATTCTTCTTTCCGGGCTTAGCAGATCTTATGTAGGAACATTCTCGTGATGACCAGATCTGCCAAAACCCCCTCAATTAAGGAATATCCTTAATTCAGGTGTATTGAAAGATCTGGGTAGTACTATTTTCCTGATGGTTTAGAGGGGCATCCCAGACGTCACGCCATGGCGCAGCTGCCCGAAGCGGCGGCAGAGGAAGTGGAGCTGGTGCCTTGCACTGCCAAGACATGGCACAGGGCGTTTAGGGTTTAGGGTTTAGGGTTTAGGGGACCGGGTTCAAAAGGGTAAATTGCCAGTCGTATCCCCGTAGAATAATCTACTACCGCAAACGCACACTCTACTTCAATAGGCCCATATAGAATTAATTTCCAGAGCCAAAGAGACCCGAGAAAGGCAGAGGGGCGGGTTGAGGATTGAGAAGGCGCAACCACCTGTCAGCGCAGCGTTGCTTTTTCTGCACTTGAGGGTTTAAGATCTTCGGATCTTAGAGTTCAGGGTTGAGGGTTTAGGGCCAGTTTAGGGTTTAGGGTTAGGGTTCAGGGTTGAGGGTTTAGGGCCAGTTTGGGGTTTAGGGTTAGGTTTCAGAGCTGACGGTCTTAGAGTTTAGGATTTGTAGGATTTCCGTGTTGAGAAAGCACAAGGTGAAAGCGATCTATGGTGACGAGGCGGTCGAGGTTCGGGAGAACGTGATCCTGGTGGATCTCCAGCCGCTCTACATTGGGATGGGGTTAGGGTTTAGGGTTTAGGGTTTAGGGTTTAGGGTTTAGGGTTTAGGGATAATCCCTAAATTAAGGACTGTTAGTATAAGTTGGATCTCCAGCCACTCTACACGTATCATTGCTGTGCGTCTTCGTGAGGTAGCCTTGTGGGACCGAATGAACCCTAAACATAGGGTCCAATATGCCCTAGACTACTGTAAAGTATATGCACCATAAACGCTTTTCGTCCCCAAGGAGTGGCTTCATTGCGACTGAAGGACTCAGGTGTCGAAGGTTTGGGTGTGCCACGTGCTATCGACTGAGGCAAGGCTGCAGGTGCTCTGGCCCAGGATTCCTTGCAAAAGGCAGGCCGACCAGCGCTCCCCGCATCTCCACAGTACTAGTACCCAGAAACCCCCAAAACCCAAGCAACCCTACAGGATTGGAATACTTCAGGGTGTTTAGAAGGCGAGCCAAAAAGGAGCATGGTCTTCAAAACAAGTTCTTAGACCCCCCCCCCCCCCCTAAACCCTATAAGCCCTGTAAGCCCTACAAAGCCAAGCAGGTCCCGTTAACCCTAAACCCTAAACCCTACACCCTACACCCTACACCCTAAACCCTAAACCCTAAACCCGAAACCCTAAACCCTAAACCCTAAACCCTACCGCACTCCAAGGCCGCGCGTGGGACAAGGCACGGCCTTGGTCTCGGCCACAATGGCGCTGCGCATCCCCGATGGCCACCCCGCCACAGGTTTAGGGTTTATAGGGTTTAGGGTTTAGGGTTCAGGGTTTAGGGTTTAGGGTTTAGGGCTGGGGTTCAGGGCTTGTCGGGTTTAGGACCTTGGGCGTATTGAATTTGTAGAAGGGTTTCGGGTCCCTGGAGCGGGTGTCTGTTTTTGGGGGTTGAGTTTGGGTTTTGGTTCTTGGCGATGCAACTTAGAAGTATCATCGTTGGGCAAGGTTCGGGTCACAAGCCTTTGGACGTTTTTTTCCCAAACCAATCGGAACCAATCGGCAAAGTCACGGGCAAGAAGTCAAGAGAAAGCGCGGACGCAAGCCGTTTGTGCCTTCTGTGCAGCGCCTGGGCACTTAAGAGAGGGGACGGCCCAGAACACCCCCCACCCCCCCCCCCCCCCCCCCCGAAGGGGCAGGAACCGCTTTAGACACGTAGGAGTTTGTTTTTTTTTTTCTAATGGTTTGTCGGCACTTCTTAGTGTGTCCTCTACTACATCTTGGGCTGATCGCGAGGGGGAAACGAAGAAATAGGGGCAAATGAAGCCGATGAAAGCGAGGACGGAGTGTAGCAGAACAACTATGGGTCATCCACTTCTGGGTTCCTTTCACAGTAAAATATTGACCGCAGTCGAGCGGTAGGATTAGCCAGGCCTTTGCCCTTTGTGTGTCCCAGAAAGTCCTCAAGAAACTCGACAGCGCACCGAATTGTGGATGTGGATCCACAGAATGTTGTGCGAAGCTTTGGGTTTTTTAGCAAAAGTTTGTTCGAGAGGGTTTGGAGTTTAGGATAGCTTCAAGTCTGGCAGTCTGGCCCACCCCAGACCACAACCCTAGACTCTTAGACCAACACACCGTTTGGCCCGTGACCTGCCCCGTCTGAGGCTACCCGGGCCAAGCCGTGCCGGAGGCGAGACACTCGTAGGAAGCACGGTCTGGGGTCCCCAGCTCTACTGTAAAACCGCCCCCGTCCCCAGCTCTACTGTAAACCCGCCCCCCCCCCCCCCCCCCCAAGTTGCACGGCTGCCTTGGCACCACGGCTAGCGCGAAAATTTGCCTCCAAACCATACGTTGAAGTAGCGACGGTTTAGGGCCCTGTTTGATGGCTTCCTCAAAACAGAATCAGAAGTTGCGGAATGAGTCGGCGGCCGGCTATTTCCGTTTCTTCGACATGTTAGGGCAGCTACTCAAAAGAGCCGAACACCGTCCCTACACCCCCAAAAGGACCATCACCTCCTAGCCCTAAACCCTAAACCCTAAACCCTAAACCCTAAACAAGCCCGCAGGTATCCGTGTGGCGCTCCCGGGGCTTATCTGACTCCGGGCTGGGGAGCCTGCTTTCTGCGGCCAAGGCCTCCCTTGAAAGCAATGGCCCCTGGTCAGCAAAGCTACCCGGATCATCCCGGAGGCAAGAGCAACAGTTCATTGGGAGCCGGGAAGTCTCAGCTCACAGAAGCCCTGACCCCCAAACCCTAAACCCCAAACCCCAAACCCTAAACCCTAAACCCTAAACCCCAAACCCTAAACCCTAAACCCTAGATGAGCCCTAGGCCCTAAGCCCAGGTTTGGCTGAGGAAGGCTGCCTCTGCCCGCTGCTGGAAGATGTCAGCGAGGCCCTGGACAGTGCCAACGACGACAGTGACTTGGTAGCCCTAGGGTTTAAGGTTTAGGATGTAGGGTGTAGGGTGTGTAAGGTTTAGGGTTTAGGGTTTAGGGTTTAGGGTTTAGGGTTTAGGGTTTAGGGTTTAGGGTTTAGGGTTTAGGGTTAGGGTTTAGGGTTTAGGGTTTAGGGTTTAGGGTTTAGGGTTTAGGGTTTAGGGTTTAGGGTTTAGGGTTTAGGGTTTAGGGTTTAGGGTTTAGGGTGAGTGTGGGCTGCACTGAGCTTCTCACGACTCACATGGAAGTTCAGGTGTGGACTTGAGATGGCTTGGAAGGGTGTTTGGTTCATATTACCTTAATATAGGGGGTTGTACTTCTAGGGTCTATGGCACCCAAGGTTTAGGGTTCATTTGGCCCTTCACATCGCCTTAAAAGGGGTTGTACTTCTAGGGTCTATGACCTCCAAGTCGAGGGTTCATTTGGCCCCCCAAGGCAGTGGTACCCTTTTTGGGGCCTTTTTTGGTTGAAGTGCAAGGTACCCAACCCAAAAGAGACCCTAAACCCTAAACCCTAAACCGTGGTTACTGGACGCCCAAGGTGAGTGCCTGATCTGCCTCCAGGCACGGGGTTCAGAGTGTAGGGCCTATCAGTCCTGGCATGAAGCAGTTTCCAGGTTCAAAAGGTTTAGGCTTTGGGGTGCTAAAGGGTTCAGGGTGCCAAAGTGTGGAAATCCTACAGAGAGGAGGGGGGTGAGGAGGGTGCAGTAACGTATGCCGGTTTTCTCCCGAACCTTAGTGAAGCGACCGAAATCTGAAATGCTCGCCGTTGCAGACAAAGGGGCAAAGCCTCGACACAGTGCTATGCAGTTTGGGTGCGGGGGATGGGGTTGCAGGGTTGCTTTAGGCTTTAGGGTGTAGGGTTAACCCTAAACCCTAAACCCTAAACCCTAAACCCTTGGTGTTTAAGCCCCCTGGCTGCTAGGTCTGCGGCAGCGTCACGGACGCCAGCGTGGTCCACGCCCCCTGCGACCACATCTTCCATGCCACGTGCCTGGGTCGCCCCTTGCCACGGTCTGCCTGTAGTTGCATTAAGAATTTGAATGTAGTAGTAAGAATAAAAATAAGACTAATAATACTAATATTAATAGTAATAATAGAAGAGCAATAAGAATTTGAATGTAGTAGTAATAATAAAAATAAGACTAATAATACTAATATTAATAGTACTAATAGAAGAGCTCAGAATATAATGCGCTTCGAAGGTTCGGGGTGTGGGACGCTGGTTTGAGTTTGGGGTTTGGGAGCCCCCACAGAGCCCCACGCCTGCAAGGGATGGCAAGGGTGTCTGGCAGTCTGTCCCAATCTCCCCATCATGGCCCTCCTATATCCCACTTGGGAATTATGTTTTATTTTTGTTTATAAGAATCCCAAGAGGATACTGAACATATTATTCTTATTAAGGTTCCAAGGGGAGTAGAGCCTTCGGTAGTTGACCATGACCGCATCCCAAATCTAGACGGGCCATCTCTTTTAATTCTTCTGCCCTCAAAAACCTCGGAATTTTTGAAGACTCCGTAACCCTAAACCCTAAACCCTAAACCCTAAACCAAGGCCGGAACCTAAGGTCTGAGAAGAAGCCCAGAGGGCTTCTGCAAGCCAATTCAAGGCTGAGGTTTTGGGCTCTAGGTCGGGGAGTCCTGGTAGTAGACGAGATAAACAGAAGCGATAGGGCCAAGTTAGCATGTAATGATTACTGAAGTGGCGGCATGAAACGAGCAAGCTATGGGAGCTCGGATTTGGTTCACGAGTCAGCTACGGCCTGTGGAGCGCTTAGGGTTTACGGTTTAGGGTTTAAGGGTTTAGGGTTTAAGGGTTTAGGGTTTATAGGGTCTCTGTGAGAGGGTCCCGGGTGAAGTGCGTGATAGCCCGCGTCAGATCACAAAGAGGACTGCACGGTCACGCGAGAGGTCTCGGCAGGACCCTTCATAGTACAAGCAACAGTGCAAAAAGGTTCGGTATGGTCCGGCCACAACTCAACTGCACAATCGCAAGCCCTGACCCTTTTCCTAGGTAGGATAAGGGGGACCCTTAAAAGGGAACCCCTTCTGAACCCTCTTCTGGCTCTCTGGTCCATATCCCCAAGGGTCCCCCTTATCCTATCCCCTACCTTTTGAAATTCCGCAAGCAGAAGGATGGGCGCAGCTGAAGATTTCGGAGGCGCGAGAGGTAGCAACAGACAAAACACAGAGCCTTGGCCGCAAAGGGACCGTCCTTGTGCTGGGGTGTCTCCTTGCTTCGGTGACTGGAATTGTTGTATGTCTTCTGAGTGATAAAACGTGTACCCTGGGGACCACATGAACCGTAAAAATGGGGCCATATACACTGCACTGCTATGCTCCATTTTTGGGTGTATATGAATCAAAAACCCTTTTAGGGTTCACGTCGTCCCTAAGGAACCGTCGACGGCCTACAGAAAACCTGGAAGCTTACAGATAAACAGTTCCCTCCCCCTCCATCCCTGCACCCTGGACTTCGAACACTACGTCGCACAGAATAGAAACCAAAAACCCCCTAAACCCTAAACCTTGGCATGTTCCCCCTTATACTAACAGTCCTTATTCTAATCCCTATTAAGGACTGTTAATATAACGTGGAAAAATCCCAACCTAAACTGTGTCACCTAAACCCCAAGGCCTTAAATAGCCCCAATAAAGCAACAAGCCCTCGGCGACTGCGAGTCAGGAGCATCCGCTCCCAACGCGACGCGCTGTCCCGGGAACTGGCGGAGGTGACGTCGAGCGTGGCGGACCTGGTGGAGGAGGCCTTCGGGGTGTAGAATGTTAGGGGTTTGGGGTTTAGGGGTTTAAAGGGGTCTATGTTCATTCTTTGAGGGAGAGGAGGGAATCACGAGTGTTTCCTTTCGTTCTTCCTTCGTCGCCGGAGCCCCAGCAATCTGCCAGAGTCCCGGATGCAAAAAAGGGTCTCAGGTTGTAGGATGCAGGTTTAGAGCTTTGCTTCAATTAGACTTGAGGATCCCTGTTGCTCAGTAGAGAAAGACAAAATGTATCGAAATCGATGCTTGATGTATATGGTCTTTAAGCCCCGAATCTTTCGGTGTGCGAGGCTAGACCCTTTGTTTTGTTATTTCATCCCTGTGTTTCCTTCTCTTTTCTCAGTCCTCGAGCGACTTGGATTAGGCTCGACTCGACCCTCACTCTTAGCTTCCTGAGTATCCTGGATACTCAGGTCCTGTCGCCAGGCTAGGTAGGGAGCTCCCCGACAACCGTTTGAGTGGCCCAGAGTGGATTCCTTGTTTAGTTCGCAGGGATGAAATCAATCCGGGGGGGGGGGGGGGGGAAACGCCCACCTCTACCCACATCTCCCTTGAACGCGGACTGACACTGCATGCGCCCAAGAGCGTAGAACTATGAAATGCCCAAAAACTTGGTAGCCCAGTGGTACCCTTTTCCCATTTTTTGGTTCAAGGTTCCCTTATAAAGTAATCAACCCCACACAGGGTACCCTTTTTATGTGATGGTTGCTGGGCTACCGAGAAAAGGTGAGTCGACTTGAAGATCTGGTCGCCAAGCTGTCGGCCAGGCGCGAAGCGATTCGCAAGGCCCTTTGCGGGGTGCCAGAAAGAAATCATAGGGCGAATCATAGGGTTTAGGCAAAAGGGTTTAGGGTTATATTGCATTTGTGTTTAGAGTTATCGAGTTATCATGCGCAGACTGAGAACTGGCTCTTGGGAGTGTCATGAGTACGCCCTAGGGCAGGTGCTGCCGTTGCTTCTGGCACAGAACCGGAGCTCAAGTAGTTTCTCAGAGCCGGGCGTCGGTGACGCGAAGTGCTCGGGCAGGCGATTCGCATAGTCCAAGAGCAGAGTAGGCATGTACTCATTATGCCATGTAGCGGCAGAAGGAACATGTTCTCCAAGATGCCAAGGTTGACCTGCCGTCGCCGTCATTTCTTCGGCCGTTCATGTAAGCCGATAATAAGCCAATACTCATGCTTCATCAATCGCCCTTTGCCTGCTCAGGCGCAGGAAGAGGACATGCAGGACGTGGAGCCTGAAGAGGAGCAGCGATGCCACTGAAGGGCCGAACTAAACATGACTTCAAGGAGATTTCCGTGTCTAGCTGAAAAGCTAATACCACGAAGCTATCATCTGTTTTCCTCAGAACACCCTAAACCCGTCCCCTGTCGTGCAGCCGTTGCAGGAGGGGGAGGAAGACGAGCCCCCTTTGGAGGAGCAGCTGGCGTCAGCAAAGATCGAGATCCCTGGCCTGTGGGGATGCCTTTCTGTAAGGTTTGGGGTTCAGGGTTTAGGGTTTAGGGCTCCTGAAGCCCCGCCCTCCAAGTTCTTTAGCTTTCGGGAAACCTACACGTTCTCGTAGAGAATGACTTCGAAAGCCTTCAGAACTCCATGGCTCTTCTCAGGGTCCAGGGCCCCGAGAGCATAGCTGGATCAGTGTGGGGATGTGCCGGTACGATACTTGGCAGCTGCGTGCATAAAGCAGCCATCCGAAAACATTGATTTCATTCCATGGCCCCCCCCCCCCCCCGGGTTTAGGGTTCAGGGTTGAGGGTTTAGGGCTAAACCCTAAACCCTCAAACCTCAACCCTATACCCCTACGTCTTGCTACATGATTCTGCCCAGAATTGGTTTTGGGGGTTCTGCAGGTCAGTGCTTTCGGGTTAGAGGTGAAAACGCTTGAAGCCACGACACCGGCGCGCACCGAAGGCTCAAGACAGTGCTGGCCAAAAAGCGCCGCGCTGACTTGACACTCGGACGCTGTGTAGGGGTTTCGGACTTCTTTAGGGCTTATCGGGGTTTGGTTCAAAAAAAAGGCTTCCACATTGCAGGGAGGTTGTGCAGGGTCCAGGAGAATAGGTGTATGTGTGCTGGTTGTGCTTGTTATTTTCAGCCATATGTTGACTTGACTGCACTATGAGGAGGGAGGGAGCTGGAGAGAGACGAACTTGAGAATGTCGATACCTCTAAGGCCTGGTAATCCAGGATGTCAATGTATTTGTGAGGTGCTGAGTGGCCTAGAGATAGAATTTGATCCTGTTTCTGTGCCAAGGAAGCACGCTGACCTCTCAGACCAGTATTCCAACATCGAGCAGGAGACGCCCAAGCCGGAAACCTTTTTGAGCCCAAACCCTGAACCCTAAGCCCTAAACCCGAACCCCCTACTTATGACAGGCCATGATGGCCTGGAGACACATCGCTGTCAGTATGTGAAAACAGAGTATAGTATTTTCTATTATGTGTTTTTCATGTCTGATCTATATATAGAGAGAGAGAGAGACTGTGTTTTTCATGGATACATATGTAGAAGCCCACATTCCTTTCTGCCATCGCTTCCCGCCCGCCAGAACCCATAGCAAGGTGGGGCTTAGAGATCACTGGCCGAGAACACAAGCAAAGAAGAGTTTTGTGTCGAGGGGGTCTTTTACAGGCTCAGTCCTACAGCCTTGGAGCCCTAATAGGCCCAAGTTGGGATGCTACCTGCTATGTTTAATCCCTATTAGGGACTCGTTGTATAAGGAGGGAACATCCCGGCTCGTTACCTTAATGCTCTGGAGACGCTTAGGGTCCCTTGTCAACATGTCTGGGTGAAGGTCCTTAATCCCAAACCTCAAACCCTAAACCCTACAGCACAGGAGCTCCGTGAAAGCACGGACGTGGAGTCTGCAGGTTCTCGGGGAGCCCTGAACCATATTTCTTTTGACCCGAATTCCCGGTTTCAGGGTTTAGGGCTATATAGGCAAGCCTGCAGCAAAAGGGCTATATAGGGTTTAGGGTGTAGGGTTTAGTATAGGGTTTAGAAGTCGTGAACCTGGTCTAAAGAGCTCACAAACCCTACACATTCCCTGAATCATGCTCGGCTTGGCAGCGTTTGCGCCGGCTGGGCATGCGTGATGTTTGGGGACGTGTTGGTGAGGCATCCGGCAATATGCTTCAGGGCATATATGAGTATACATATACTATGAATGCACAGTTAGGTGCATCATTTGCATCATCAAGAGTCTCTGGCTGAGCTCCGCTGCACTTTTCAGTCGATTGTCCAGCAGTCCTTGTTGCACTCTATAAGATTTAAAGCTTCTTTCTCCAAGAACAGGGCTTGGGAGCCCGACAGATCATTCGTACGGGCACACACGCACAGTCAAACATGATGTACAGCACAGATGCACTGAACAAGTACTTGAAGACGAAGGAGTATTTGCACTGAACACACAGCGACGATGCGCAGAGACTGTACGCATGTATATGTGCATGTGCAGCCTGCTCCGCACCTTGTCCTACTTTTTGAGCCTCAGCCCCAGGTCCTACACCCTGAGCTGCACCCTACACCCTGATCCTTGAATCCTAGATCTCGCAGCAGTGGACACACAGAGGACACAATCCCAGCGTGCTGGCTAGGAATTCATGTGTCAGTGGCTACTGAGCACAGTCTATGAGGCAACGTTAAAGTCATGTTTTGACATTGACATCAAAGAATGCGAACAAGGCATAAACAAGGATGTTTTGATAAATTCTAGCGGACCCTCTCAGCACCACATGCGAGCACAAGGCAAATTGTTTTCGTCCGTTTATGGTTACAACCTCGCATACCGAGTAAAATGCGGGCCAAAACATTCTAGTAGTTTAACACGAAAACATGGTTGCGGCCTTGCTACATCATGCTTAAACCTTACAACCCTATAAACCCTAAACAACCCTTCGCCACCAAAACAACATTCGCCTCTCAGACGTGTCTCGCATTCTCACCGTCAACCCTAAACGCCAAGCCCCAAACCCTAAACCCTAAGCTCTAAACCCTAAACCCTAGCGAGGCCTCCCGTGTCCGGTGTGTCGCGCAGCGATACCGCCTCATCAGCTGCCTTCACAACACCCCGCTGGCCCGAGACTCCGGAGTGATGGGGTTTAGGAGTTAAGGGGGTTTAAGGGGTTATAGGGTTTAGAGAGGGTTATAGGGTTATAGGGTTTTAAGGGGTTATGAGGTTTAGAGAGAGTTATAGGGGTTAGGGTTATAGGGTTTAGAGAGGGTTATAGGGCTAAATTATAGGGTTTACAGAGGGGTATAGGGTTCATAAGGGTTATGTATATGGCATGGTTATTTAGGCTTATAGAGTTATAGGTTTTAGGGTTATAGGGTTTAGAGCTAGGGGGTTATCGGGTTAGAGGATTAGAGGGCTTAGGGTTATAGAGTTGTAGAGTGAGAGGGTTGGTGTGACAGGGTTTCATACGGGGGGGGCGGGGGGGGGGGGGGGGGGGGGGGGGGGGAAGGTTATCGGGTTACAGGGTTGCAGGGTTTAGATTTTAGGGCCTAGACGGCTAGACTTCTGTTCAGTGGCACAGAAAAGGGTTACAGCAAAAAGTTAGGGGTCTGAACGGTTTGCTTCTGGCATTCCACGGCTTAAAAAGGGGGGGCTTGCGCACTGTGAGGCTTATGATGAGATTTCAGGTTTGTGTTTGGGTTTTGTGGGGGCGCCAATCCCTGTAGCTTCTTGGGTTGTCCCTACTTGCTGCATCCTCCAATGGGGCGATGCAAGGAAACCAAAGCCAATAGAGTTGGGACACAAACCAAACACATTCAGCTGTCGATTGTGGCGGCCCCTGGGGCTGCAAGGTTTTTGCAGCAAGGTCTTCTAAAAATGCTGCGGTCTCAAGGGTTTGGCAGTGAGGGGATTGAGGCTGAGGATTCTTTGGTTGTGCAGTAAAACACGTGGATCACAAGAATTATGATCGTAAACGCCTGCACGCAGTCAGTCCGGGTGCAGAAGCTGCGTGTGATAGCATATTCTGGGTTTGGCATCATGAACAGTGATCAAGGGGCTCCGGTTGAAGGTGTATGTCTAGGATGCAGTGAATATCTTGCACTGGACGCATGGCACGGGGCAGTTTGTGGATCGTCAAGTGTCAACAGGTGGCTTAGGGAGCTTAGGGTTTAGGGTTTTATTAGGGTTTAGGGTTTAGGAAGTTTAGGCTTTATGGGGCTTATGCAAGGACATCTGGCAGCGGTGATGAGACCCGAAGCTCTGTGAGCGCGTTGCCCGCAGATCTTCTCAGGCCGCTCATCGTGAAAGTTGGCTGAGTAGTTTGGGCTCTCCCGCTGTAAATCCAAAAATACTCCCATCTATGTCCACCAAGACATCTAAAGTCACCCTGCCATCCCTGCTTTGAGACTGTGGATCCCGGTGACCACAGCGCCAACAACCCGCAATGTGCGCTTGCGCAACTTGGGGGTTTCCGAAATAGGGGGTACCCCTTAACTTATATACACCGAAATACTATATAATCCTTTTCAAGGAGCCCCGGAAACCCCACATTGTCTTGCGGAGAGGCAGGTCCGAGACGTCCAACAGAAGCATGGCGCCATTCTCGCCAAGCGCAGGCAGAAGGAGAAGGCCATGAAGGGTTTAGGGTTATAGGGTTTAGGGTTTAGGAAGGCCAGGGCTGGAAGTCTGAAACCTTGGAACCCTAACATTGGGGTCCTATATCCTATACTACTGTTATCCTAAGCTCAGGCTTTACAGGGCTTAGGCTTGTTTCACTTCGGCTCTTTTTTCCTTGTGCGCCGTGCGACATCTGAAGCCTCCCGCCTCACTTGGAGGTTCATGGTACTTATAACCCCTTATAGGCCCTCTTAAGTGCCCCAACGTGGATATAGTCGGGTTGTAAGTACAGTTATAATTGGGTTATTAAGTACCATGAACCTCCAAGCACCCGCCCGCGCGAGGAGGCAGAGGAAGCAGCCGCCCAGCTGGCCGCCCAGCAGGAGATGCCGGCCGAGCCTGCCGCTTGGCTTCTCTTAATAAAGGCCCTGGTCGGAATACTTATTTATAGTATTCCCTTCAAGGTCCCTATATATATAACTATACGGAGACTATACGCTAATAGTAACCGCCCAAAACCCTATTAGGCCCCTAGATTAGGTATAGGGCTTCGGGGCTTAGGATTCTGGAGTCTGCGCTGCTAGAAATATGATGTCCGCTGCCAGGCACGTCAGAGGGTCCTGGAGCAGGGAGTCCGCAACCCCTAAACCCTAAACCCTAAACCTCAAACCCTAAACCCTAAATCGAGTTGGAGTCTGCTAGGCGGGTGGCAAAAAAATCGAGTTGGAGGCTTGGCTTTTCAAGCGTTCCGTGTATGCGCCACCCAGGAAGTACACTGCGCCGCAGGCCGTGGCTGCTGCCCCTCCCCCCCCCCGGTATGAGCACAAAGGGCTTTGTGTTTAGGATTGTGGGCTTTTGCCTTCAAGCAGCTGCACGTGCCGTTACTATGGACTGCTTCTAAACCTTGGACCGAAAAAGAAGCCCTACTGTATATCCCATATAGGAGTCTGGCAACTCTTCGTGCCCCTGGGCACTTGCCACTTTGAGAGGTTTTGGGGGCTTCGGGTTCAGGATGGTGTGATTTCAGGACACATGTTAGGGTTTAGGGTTTAGGGTTTCAACATATATTTCCTTGATAAAAGTTGTTTTGCTAGTGGTGGGGTGCCGAAGGTTGTATTGGGTGCTTAGTGGTGCTTGCTCAGGGATAGCAACCTGATCATGCAGCAGGTCAGGCCTCTCGACGACGATGCATCACTTCTGAAACCCAGCCCAGGGACCTCTGATTGTCGTCCGGGTTGCAGCTGCACAAGCAAAGGCAGACAACAGCAAAGCAACTCTCAACCCATCTCAACTCCTAGCTGTGTGAGGCAGCACACAGTAGCCCAGTGTGGCATGATGCTCACACATGCATACATACATACATACATACATACATACATACATACATACATACATACATACATACATACATACATACACACATTCACACATACACACATACACGCATACACACATATCATACACACATACACGCATACACACATACACACACATGAGTATATATATATATATGTATATATATATATAGCCATTTATTTATTTGTTTATTTATATTTTTATTTTTATTTCGCATAGTATATACACTCACCGTGAGCTTCATGGGCACTCTTTCAGCCCGTTTCAGCTGGGCGCCTGTCCGAGCCCTCGGGGAGGCTCTTCGGGTGGCTGGTGGTCGAACTCGGCGGGCTGGGAGCAGGCGGACTGGTCCCAGAGCTCCACACGAGGAGCCTTGGGTGCAGGGTTTAGGGCTTAGGGGTTTGGGTTTAGGGGATACTTGGTTTCGTGAGGGGGAGGGGGGGGGAGGGCTATAAGGAATCAGGGGGGTTAGAAAGGGGAGTATTAAGGGGGTATAAGGTCTCAATGGCTAAGTAAGGATTCGGTTGAGGTTTGAGGGATTTGTTAGGGGGGATTGGCGGTACGGTGTAGGCATTTTTTTGAGATTTGGGGTCTTGGGCGATTTCGGGGGGGATGTGCGGTTCGGTGTGGGCACCATTGGCTGTCCGGAGGGCTGAGAATTTTCGAGGCATCTCGGGTCAGTAGAGTTCAGCGCAGCTGGGTCTGATCTAGTCTATGCGCGTAGTGATTGCGTGGTTTCTCTGGAAGTCCCCGATGCTTATTCGATCTTTTCAGAATCAGCTCAAATATGGAGCTTTCTTGTTGAGGGCTGATCTAGTACAGTGTTGCAAGGGAGGGTTTGCGGCTGGAAAAGGGTTCGGCTGCTAGGTCGCGCGCCTTCGCCCGAGCTTTCGCTATGGTCCCTTCTTTGGTGTGTATGAACCCCAAAGCCCACAGGGAAATATATTCGCACATAGCGCTTTCATGTGAGTTCTAACGGTACGATAACCAGGTTGTACGCACCCTCAAGCAATGAGCCCCATGGGCCCAGTACCCATCCCCCCCGTCCCCCCCCCCTCCCCACCCTACTTGGAGGTTCATGGGTAGTTAGAAGTGGGGTATAAGTAGGGTAACTATAGTTGCAACTGGTTATCTTCTTATCTAAGGTATGTATAACGCTACTTATAACTTGCGTCCAGCAAACCTGATCCAGCCATATTTAATGATCTTATCATCTCGGACTCGTTATATAATTCCTCGAATACGACATCCTGCGTCACGGTATGAGGGTATATATCTTGTGGCTCCAGGGTTTGTACGGTTTAGAGTCAGGTTTAATTATAAACCTGTGGCCGAGGAAAAGGCAAGAGCCAGGGCTACAGCAGCGGCGGCTGTGGCGGCCTGGCGCAGGACGGCAGAGAGAAGTGTCCTCGACTTGCTACCCGAACTTGTGCCCGGAGCGCTAAGCTGCCTGTCAGGGCTTGGGGAAGTTCAGGGGAAAAGGGCCGGGTTTAGGGTTCAACTCGAAAGATGTTCAACCTCAGCAAGCCCGCCACGCATCCCAGATGTAGATCCCAATAAAAACTGTACTTATAACTCACTTGTTCAGCCCCGTAAGTGCCCTAATATGGTTAAATTTGGTTATAAGTACAGGTATATGTGGGTTATTAAGTACCATGGGCCTCCAAGTAGTTGACCAAGCCTCCGCTGCCAGATCCCGGCCATGAGCCGCTCAAAGCAGGATCCTTTTTCTTAGGATTTAGGGTTTGGGTTTTAGGGCTTAGGGACTGGGGAGGTAACCGAACCTTTTCGGTTGCATAGAATCCTACTAAAAGGTTTAACATTTTTTTGGGCGGGTATGAAGCCCCTAAGTACGAGGGTTTCGATTATAGGGTTTAGAGGGTTTGGGGTGTAGGAAAAAAGTCTTGAGGGACGACAGCTCGCAGACTCTGGCTCTTGCAAGGCTTCAACTTCAGACCTGGGTGGGTTGGGGTTGGATCCTTGTGTGTATGGTGCTAATGTCAAGTTTAGGGTTCATTTGCTGGTCGTTCTGGCCTGACAGCTACTGAGCGCCTGAAAGAGAGAGAGAGAGAGAGAGAGAGAAAGAGAGAGAGAGAGAGGGAGAGTACAGGAATCTTCTTTCTGAGAGCTTCAACAGCCCCAAACCCATTAAACCCGTATACCTCCCTAAGCCCTAAAACCTAAACGCTACTTGAAGGTTCATGGGTAGTTCGTAAGTGGGGTTATAAGTGCCTAAATAAGGCTTTGACCAGTTATCAAAAGTATAGTTCCCCTACTTACAACCCCACTTAGAACTACCCATGAACCTCCAAGTAGCCCTGCAAACCCTAAAGCCCTGAACCCTAAACCATGAAATAACAGAGCAAAAAACCCTAAACCCTAAACCCTAAACCCTAGGGTCTCCGCAGGAGGGCAAGCCACGCAGCCGGTGGAGCAGACATCCGCGGTGAGCGCGCAGACGAGCGGTCGAAAAAAAGCAAAGGCCTCTAAAACCTGAACCCTGAACGACTAGACTCCAAAGAGTTTCCAAAAACTCAACCCTAAACCCTAAAACCCTAAACCCTAAAACCCTTTCAAAGTATCTCTTTAGGGCCGACTCTATGGCTCCTCCTGACACCTCAGACCGGCGAAGAGCGCTTGGTTTCCTCCATGACGTTTAGGGCTTGTACTTGGAGGTTCAAGGTACTGAGAACCCCATGGTAACTGTACGTATAGCCCACTCATAAGCCCCTTAAGTGCCCTAGCTTGCTTATATAAGTTCAGACATTATTTGGGTTGTTAAGTACCATAAACCTCCAAGGAAGGCTACTTGAAGGCTCCAATGTAGTTCCTTTTTGGGCTTGTTTGTTAGGGGATTCTAGTATACTAACCCAAGTAAGATACTACATAGGAGCTTTATAGTGGGTGGTGTAGGAGCTCTATCCTTCGGGGGCCATTACTAGCTTTGTGTTGGGAACCCTCCCCCCCCCCCCCCCAGCCCTAAACCCTAGCCCTAAACCCTAAACCCTAAGCCCGAAGCCCGAACCCGAAGCCCGAAGCCCGAAGCCCGAAGCCCTAAACCCAAACCCTACCCTCCCCCGTCCCTCCCTCCCTGACCGACCCAGGTGTGGTGGGTGGCCTTCCTCTTCACCCTCTTCTTTGGCGCTTTTCGGTCCGCGGCCCCAGAGCATGTGCGCACCATCTCTCTCTCTCTCTCGCGAATATCTTGTGTTATAACTTATATTCTTTGCAAGAATAACGTTGTTGGGCCACATGTACCAACTAGCAAAAACTCAGTATCCTTTCTTATCCTTCTCTCTTTCCTCTCTTTTTTTTGCTCCCTCTCTCTCTCTCTGTCTCTCTATTCGCTCTCGCTCTCCGTCTGACTCTCTCTTCTCTATCTCTGGACGTAGGTGAGCAAGTGCAGGTCCGAAATATTGAGGCACCCTCTTCGATGGTGCACCAGTAGACCGGTTTGACAAGGTTTTTGTGCGTGACATGCGCTATGTTTCGGGCCACAGGGTCTAGCGATCTAATGCCTAAGGACCCTTGAACCCCCTGAGTCCTAAGCCCTGACGCCTCACAGGGTCAAGGCATGTGGGGCCATAAAATTGAGATGTGGGATCGCTTCTTGCCCCCCCCCCCCCCCCCCCCCCCCCCCCCCCCCCCCCAAACCCCAACCCTACACCCACGTGGATGGATTACCTGCTCCGCCCATTTGAGGGGAATCCTGGGAGCCGTCTTTGTTTCACTGCTCTTGGTCCTGTACCAGGCTCGTGGGCTGAGTGGGCGTGCACCTAGGTATATCTTTGCCTTTTTGTCAAGGTACAAGGTTACTCTAGGTAGAAGGGTCTTTACACCACGTCCCTGATTCTGCCCATTAGATCAACGTGGTGCAGCGGCTCGCCCCTGGCTCTTGGAGTAGCAGCGCGGTTGATTAGCCTGCAGAGAAGGTTTTTGGTCGAGGTCTCAGTCTCAGGCCTTAGAGGGGCTGTTTCAGATGTTTACAGACGTGCTTCGTAGCATTTCGACTCAAAAGGTGTCATCCGCGGAGCCTCTGTGTCTTGCAGAAGTCATGCCAGAGGACCCGAGCGGTGAAGTTGAGCCGGCCGGTGGGGAGGTCCCTGATTGAATGCCACACAGGTGGCAACACTCCTGTGCGCGAGCTTGCCCAGAGACCCGGTAGGCTTTTGGGACATTCTACATGTTCTCTTATTGGGTTTAAACCCTGAACCCTGAACCCTGAACCCTAAACCAGATGGTGTTCTGAGCCAGCCTAGGAGAGTCAGGGCGGCCAAGCCTGAGTGGAAGCAGGGGGGCATCAAGCTTGTGTGCGAGGGCGTGGTGGTAGCAAGCAGCAGCAAGATCGATGACCTACTTGTCAAGGAGAAGCATGTCACCCTCACGGCCGTTGCAGATCGAAGTCCTTCTCTCGACGAGGTGATCCAGGATTGCCAGGCGATGTTCCTGGTGCACTTTGGGGAGGATGCTCAAAGCCTGGATGCGAGCTTGCCCGGCATGGACGGCCTTCAGGCTCTTGACGTTCGGAATTCCTTACATCGCCACTTCGATGTTAACTTGTCGTCAACGATTGTCTTCGATTCTCCCACCATCCGCGAGATTGCCGAGCAAGTGTACGAGTGCATTCAGGAGCAAAACAACTGAGACCCGAGCAATGCCGGTTGCCGTGATAGCATCGCAGGTAGTTACCCATCTTTCAGTCCGACCTGTATAGTTTTTTTGGGACTGGCTCCGGCAATGGCCCCTATGCAGTTTCCTGAGCCCCCGAGGTACTATGAAGTGCTCGTTGAAAAAATCAGGGAGCAGAGTGAACAACAGATCACCAAAAGACCCAACAAGAGATCACCAACAGAAGGCCTGCGGAACACTGGCCGACCAACAAGAGACTACTTGAAGACTACAAAAGAAATTAACAAGAGATCGACTTGGACGCCCAACAACGACGGCAACTTCGCACATGACGAGTACCGTTGTCCAAAAGTTCACTTTGCATTTGGGTAGTATAGATGTCCATCAACGACGACACTTGTCGCTGTTCGCTAACCCACACAGTCTGAAGCCACTGCTGCTGTTGTGAGATGCACGCTCCCCCTGTAGATGACATCTGAGAGATTCCAGTTTAATTTCAGGATTTGCAGTGAACATCAGTGCTACATTCATCTTATGATTGAACTGGTTGAATACAATTTTAGCAACTATACAAAACACAACATACATACAACCATACATACATACATACATACATACATACATACATACATACATACATACATACACAGATACATGTAGATACATACATATACATATATATATATATATACGTATGTGTATATATATATATAATATATTATGTACACATATATATATAGATATATTATGTATATATATATATATATATATTATGTATATGAAGACCGGGCCTGATAAAGCTGGGAAGGTGGCCGATCCTCCAATCGCCCGCCTTGGATTCAGTTCTGCCCGCGGTAGGCCTGGGCATTCTACGTCCTTGTTTTCCTTTGCAAAGCGCCACCAGCTCAACTGTTTAGGGTTTAGGGTTTAGGGTTTAGGGTTTGGGAGATGTTTGGGTGTACGTGTTTACTCACTTCGCCAGTAGCCACTAGCGCAAGTCTGATGCTGTTTGGGTGCTCTTGTTGCGTCGGAGTGGGAAGCTTATGCGTGGCTGAAGCCCTAGCAGCTGGGGAAGAAAGATTCGATCGAATGTTGAGGTTTTGGGGGGGGGGGGGGGGGGCGCCTGCTGAAAGACAGCAACCAGCGTGCCCGTTAGGTACCTTCTGGAACAGTGCTGCAAAGCAGGTGTCCCCAAAAGGTGCCCTCCTCTCCCCTGTACTTTAGGGTTTGAGTCTGTGCGTGTTTGGGGGGGGCCTTTGGGGCTTCATGGTTGGGGGTGTTTCTCGGCGCCCTAAACCCTAAACCCTAAACCCTAAACCCTAAACCCTAAACCCTAAAGAGTTTTTTAGAGAGGACCCCGAGACCCAGAGATGCCTTCCCACCATTTTTCTAGACGAATCGTCAGTCTTAGGGTTTAGGGTTTGTACGATTCAAAAAGGGGTTAGGCCCCTGTTGCCCCTGTTGCCCCTGTTGCCCTAAGTTTAGGGTTTAGGGTTTAGGGACGGATCTGCATGGCTGGACAGGTGGCTGAACATGAAGGCGCCAATTTGCGGGAGCGGGGCGGGTTGGAAGGACTACTGCAGAGCAAAGAGGGATGAAACCGTTGCCGCAATGTATGGAGAGGGCCGCCATGTTACCAGGATTGAATTTGGAGCATTCCTAATTAGGTAGGATAAGGAGGACCCTTCAAAAGGGTGCCCTTCTTAACCCTCTTCTGGCTTTCTGAAGCAGGACCTTATTCAGAGGGTCTATATCCCCAAGGGTCCCCCTGATCCTATCCCCTAATGCACGAGCAGGGCTCGTTTGAAACTGAGTTGGGTTTGCAGCCCACAGGAAGAAAGCAGCAACCCCGTAGCTGACATCAACCAGCCGATGCTCAGCCTAAACCCTAAACCCTAAGCCCTAAACCCTAAAAAAAACACCCTAAACCCTAAACCCTAAACCCTAAACCCTAAACCCTAAACCCTAAACCCTAAACCCGACCTGCATGCCGTGAGGCCCATGGCGATGCTCAGCCGCGAGCTGGCATCGTTGCCTTCCGCCTGGAGGGGCCGTGGCTTGGGCAGAGACGTCACACGTAGTCACAGCTTTGTGCCGGTAGGGTTTAGGGTTTCGGGTTTAGGGTTTAGGGTTTAGGGTTTAGGGTTTAGGGTTCTTGACATCCTCGCAGATGTCTTTCCTTGATTCACGAGTGCTTCCTCATGGTTCATGGTGATATGGGTGCATAGAACAGTTTGCATGATGTTTTGCGTGATGTGACTTCTGAGAAGTTGCATGTTTGCCGGCAGCCTCCAAAGTCCGTCGCTCAAAAGGGTACTTGGAGGTTCATGGTACTTAATAACCCAAATTATAACTGTAGTTATAGCCCAATTGTAACCACATTAGGGCACTTAAAGGCTTATCATTGGGTTATAAGTACAGAGACAATTGGGTGATAAGTACCATAAACCTCCAAGTATGGCACGGCTGGGAGGGGAACGAACCAGAGAACACGTAAGGTCGCACTCCCTGCAACACCGAAACCCAGGAACTAACCCCAAACGGCTCCCTGAGGCTGTTTTACGCCAACGTGGAGCGCTTGGAGGACATGGGGCTCTCACTGCTCTCGCCTCCTCCGGTTTAGGGTTTAGGGTTTAGGGTTTAGGGTTTAGGGTTTAGGGTTTAGGGTTTAGGGTTTAGGGTTTAGGGTTTAGGGAAACGAGAGCCCGCTAGCACGACAAGCAGCTTACCATGCAAGTGTAGTAATTACCTATGAGGGTTCCTGCGATTGGAGGTTTTGCCATTCAAACACCCCAAACTGTTAAACAAACCTTTTAACAGA